ATATATATTTTAGATACCTTAGGTATTTACCTATCATTTTATATATTTTTGTGAACATTTGACCCTTTACCAGCCCACAGGAAGGGTTTCAAAATAGTAACTTTTTCAACTTAACTTTTGAAATTGTTCCAGAAAGACTGACACTTTTATATACACTTTAAATTAAAGTTTATGAAGTATACTTTATTTTGAAAAAAAAATTTGACCTATGGATTTTTCTTCGAGGTGAAAATGACTACTGTATTCAAAAATATGCTATGTTTATGTTAAAATTCTCGGTTTTGTATTTTATATTATTTTAAAATATCTGACATGAGGAAGTACACAGATTTTCATAAATATTATATAAACAAAATTGATATAGTATAGAAAGTTAAATTTATTTAAATTTTTTTGCTTTTTTGAAGCCGAGCAAATTAACTTTGAAATTTGAACTAGCTTAAATAGCCAATTTTTTCAATCGACGGTAGCGACGTACAGTTGCCGATTTGGTAATACTTATGTTTTACACGCTTGGGGTACAAGGTTCTAAACCGCGTAGGCAATGAATTTTTTGCATTTTTTCTTAATTCTTTTTAAGTTAGTATAAATTTTTAACTCGTTTGATTTTTATCTAATTTAGATTCAATAACTTCAATAAAGATCAAGGATCTCATCACTTTAGTCGCCCCAAGCAAAAAGAAATTTCTTATTCGTATTAAAATTATTTTACTATATTTTAAGTTTTTGTTTCGATGTAATGCTGAGAAGATATTTTTTTGTGACTATCATTTATTTTCTCTGCTCTAACTTGACCTACTTTTTTCAACGATACGTCAAATGACTATAATTCGTATCTTCGTTGAAGATATTACTCTCAAAAATTGAAAAAAAATTCTAATTTATCAATTAAATGGTTACTTATCCCATGTTCATCATACAGACAATTANATTAAATGGTTACTTATCCCATGTTCATCATACAGACAATTAAAATCATTCATTTCTAATGTTTTCAAAATATTTATTGACGAATCAAGTTTCATATGATAATTTGATATATTGATATACAAAATTAAATCATTTTACTTTGTAAAAAAATAATTTTTTTACTCTATTTATAAGCAGTAACACTTATAAAAAACTTAAATAAATTTTCAGGTTAAAAGTAATTATTTAGTCAAATAGTTATTCATATATTATTATCATTATATCATAGGATTTCTTTTACATATTGCTGTAATAACAAGATAAATCTGGACTAATCTTGTTGTTGCACCAAATAACAAAACAAGGTAAATTTATTTTTGCCCCTAATTATCAAGAATAATTTCCTTTAAAATTTTTTACTAAAAAGAGGTTTTTGAAAAAAAGTTGATTTATTGGGTTGTTGCCGCAATTCGTTCAACTTTAATCACTCTCAAATCTTCACTATGTTACAGTTTTTCATTGTATCGTACTGAAATTTTATCATACATTTTACTAAACAAGGTNATATTATAGGATTTCTTTCACATATTGCTGTAACAACAAGATAAAACTGGACTAATCTTGTTATTGCAGCAAATAACAAAACAAGTTAAATTTATTTTTGTAACAACTATATGAATTTAGACATAATCAATATGGTTGTTGCCTCTAATTATCAAGAATAATTTCCTTTTAAATATTTTTATTAAAAAGTGGTTTTTGAAAAAAAGTTGATTTATTGGATTGTTGCCACAATTCTTTCAATTTTAATCACTCAAATCTTCATTATGTTACAGTTTTTCATTGTATCGTAATGAAATTTTATCATACAATTTACTAAATAAAGTTTATTGTTCTTTTCGATCAAAATATAAGTTGTTTAATGTCTAAATGTATACATGTTTTTTTTATATAGTTTTAAAGAGTAAAATAGACAAGATACATTTATAAATGAATGTTGTCTAAAATTTAAAAAAATATTAACTCAATCAATACAAGCATATTCTTTTTTATAGAGGTAAATGTTTGTATTTTATTTTTGTAAATTTTTGTTTAATGTTTACATAACAAAATAATGGAGCCAAATTTTAAGTAAAATGTCTTTTCCTAATACTTATATTTAAATGAAAAATTCAGCTATAAAATATATTTTAAAATTTTACGTGGTTTGAGTGATTTTAGTTGGTTTTATAAGATGTTTTTATTAAATATTTTCGCAATTTTATGGTTATCACACAATATTTACTTAACAGTCATACCCGGAGGTAATTGGTTCTCGAAGGTAAATAAATATAAATTTAATTTATACTACACAATAATATTATCTAAGACTTTTGATCTAATATTTTATTATCTTCTAGAATTATAGGCTTTATGAAATTATTTTCTATACATTTTACGGAAACAAAAAAATGATAATATCACAAATATAGAATGTAGTGTTTAAATAGGAATTGCTAATTCCTAAAAATTAAAATTTTCTTTGAAGCATTGAAAAAAATGTTTTAAATAAAATTTTATTTAAGAAAATTTCAATAAATTACAGTTTTTAATCATAATTATAAATTTAATTACGTGTAACTATCATATTAAACGTAGGACATAATATTACAAAACAAAAACTTAATCATTTTAGGAGTTATGAGAAATGATATTGCCACGTATCAAATTATGATTTCTTTTATTAATATTTCTTTGAACTATTTTGCATTCGATTTTGATTATCTTTATTCCATTTTACTGAAATATATTTTGAATCGCTTTACGATAATTAAATTTAGATATTCCAATTTCAATATCCAATCGATCGTCAGTGGTATCGGTTAAAAGTTTTTATACTTAATTTTGGGCTTTATGACATTATTTTTCATACATTTTACAGAGAAAAAAANTTTCGATTTCGATTATCGATAATTCAATTGAATAATTTTGATTTCGATTTATATTATGTATATTCCACTTTACCGATTTCTATTTTCTATCGCATATCGATATTTTATTTTAGATATTTCAATTTCGATACCGATAACGACATTGGTTAAAATTTTTCATACTTTATTTTATCTTAGCTAACCTATATGTACTAAGATCCATATAAATATAATATTATTTACTATCACTAGCGTAATTTTTTAGCATTAATAGAAAAATTTACTAAACTATTTTTCAAGAATATGTTAATTACTAAAAAAATATTTATAACATGTTATAAATATTTTATTAAACATTATTGAAAAAAAGAAAAAAGAACAATTATTTTGTAATATTCATTTGTATACGTACAATAAATATATTCCATAAGTTGTGTTACAAAACCATGTTGTATCCAACACATGAACATCGTATGTTATAACATCCCATCGTATGTAGTTTATACAAGAAATATATTCCATAAATATAATGTAAATTAATCATTATAATGTTAATTTGATGTATTGTAAAAAAAATACTGATTATAATACTATGTTTTTATGCAAATAAATTGTTATTCATTTAAACAATAATGTCCCCACTAGGGTGACCAACAAAAATCTAATGTCTTTTTTATTATTTAGTTACCCCTTAATTTTTTTTAATGGTCAAAATTTAAGACCGATCCATAAAGGTTAACCCGTACCCCGGGCCTATTAAGTTGAGTTGAAGAGACAAATTTAATAAAAATAACTCATCAATGTCTCAACTTTTTTTTTGCTTTACTTAGAATTATGAAAGTAAAACTCAAATAAAGAAAATTTTATAAGAAATTAAAAAATAATATATTCAATGTTGTTTTAGCTTCGATGCGAAGCTGAGAAGGTATTGGTTTTACTAAGATGATTTTTTTTTTTTTTTTTTTTTT